TAGATGGGACTTGAATTGTCAGCATTTCACAACAGCAGAGGAGGGGAAAAAAAGTCTTAACCACACGTGAACTTATATGTGCACTTACAAAAACCTGTTTTCCTGAGATTTCAATGCAATCCACCAAATTAACAAGGTCAGATAAGCACCTGAAATTTCTTATACTTATCTGATCAAGGTCTCCAAACTCCTACCACCCATCACTAATTTTGTCATCAAACTGATTCAAATAAAGCAGTGACTTATTTGATCTCTTGGTTTTTCAGAAGCCTATCAAAGTTATTTCTTGATTGCAAAACAGGTATACATGATAGCTGATAAACATTTCAGAGTGCTGATTTACTGCTTCATTGCTGTCTGAAAACATGGCTTCTCTCACAAACTTTTGGAGAGCAACTATTATTTATGAACTACTATTGCACTCCTTTGTAAGTGAAAAAGAGATAAGCAATTAGTTCAGCTGACTATGCTTAAATCTAAACCAAGCACAAGCATTGGAGCCAGTCCATTGTAGCCATACAGAAATGGTTTGGGGCAAATGAATTCACTTCTGACAAATATATCCCTTTTCGCTTTTATCCACAGATGTACCAGAAAAACTGTCAGTTACTCTATTAAATACAATCAAACACTGTTTCACCTGAACTACTAAATCCCTTTCTAGTGACAGAATTCACTGCTCCTCCCAGATCCTTCCTTTGCTCATTCCATATAATAAAAAGGCTTAGTATTATGGAAAGGGGAAAAAAAATAACCTCACATATTCTTTCCAAGTGATTCTCATAAGGTCCCACTATACCAGAGAAATGTACACATGTGAAGAAAACAAAATTAACCTTAGAGGGTAGTCTAGATCTATATTCCCACATTCACACACAGACACTTAGACAGGCTTTCTTAAGGAAAGATATTGCATCATTTTCCAATTGCAGTACAATCAGTCATTTGAAACATTTGTTTCATCAGATGCTTATCTGTCTCAAATGACAAGAACATGGTGCTTATTACTTTCTCCAAGTAATATATCCCAGCAGTAGGGAATGAGATATGTAGTGCAGAATTATACTTTCCCATCCATGTACAAGACTTACCACAGTTTCCTGACTTTCCTGATATATTTAAGAACCTATTTTCTAAGTTCACTGCTAAGTGTGTTTGACAGGAATGAATGAAGGTTATTATTTGGACAAATCTGTCATAATTATTTCTAGCTGCTAATGCATTCTTCTAAATATTCCTATAGTACTGCCAGTGAAAACACTAATGAAATACCCAGAGTGGGCATCGTTAACACTCATGTTTCACAGTGATGCTATGTGAGTATGCAGGAGAGCAGACACTGCCCTCTTACAGATCTTCCTCCCCCATCCTTTATGGGATTCCTGTACTTACGCATCAGCTGATAAAATCAACTTTTAATCATCTGCATTGGCCTACACAGGCACAGAACAGTACATCTTGAGCCTGTGTATTTGGCAACACATCCTAAAATTTAGCAACAGCCAAGGCTTTGATTCATAAACCGTAAGATCACAAATGACCACATAGATCTTTTCAGCTTTTACTCCAATATCTCATCTCATGTTTAATGTGCACACTAAATAATTGAAAGAATATGTCTTGCCCACTTCCCTTAGAAAAGCAGACAATGGCCAATAACCAAGACAACTTAAAATATTGTTGCTGCATACGCTAGTATTTTCAGCCCTTACTTTTGGGATTGTCAGTACCTCCATAATCCAGAATTTTATAATTTATGGATAAGTACTCAGTAAATATAAATGAAGAACAGTAAGTACATAGAGATGTTGGTTTTTTTCCCCTCAAACGAAATACTTCAGGCTGGACTGAGTGATTCTGTAATAGAGTAAAAAGACACTTTCTATGCATAAATGATTTCACTTTTCTGATTGTATTTTACTAACAGGAAGAATCTCCCTATATAACAGAACACAGACTTTTTCCTAAGGAAAACCAGCATATGCACTATTTTTGAGTCATGTAAAAAATAACAGAGCAGACAAATGGTTCAACAAGAAGACACTTTCTCTGGTAGAGAATGGACCAGACAGTGTAATAAATTAAATCTGCTTACCATCTTAAGAATTCTCCAATTATGGGTGCATGTTTGGGCCTTGCCCACAGTGTTTACACAACCCCTTCAACTAACATCCTGAACCACAGCCAATATTCACTAGAAGCATAAACAACTGTGAAAAATATATAGGAAAACTCTGTTAATTTTGTAGCCCACAACTGACTACAGTGGGAGTTGATGGAACCTTTGCAATAAAAATAGTGCCTCAAATCAGTTCTCCACATGGAGAAAGTTTCCAATGATAAGGGACACATGTAAGGCACATTCTTTTAAAAACCTGCTCAAAAGCAGCTCATTGTTCATAAAGGGAATGGTGTTTACACAGGAAAAAGTCCACTTTCAACAAATCTGAAATCCAACAGATGTTTCCTTCTATCTAAGCAAAACAAGTTTGTGACCCTTTTCTGCCCAACCAAAAATCTTCAAAATTAATTCTGCAGGAAAAAAAAACTTCCATACTTGAGAGAATGATCTTGAAAAATGAATTCAGAAAAATTTGTATTTCATAATTGCAGCTGCTACTGAAGTGAGTTAACTAAAAAAAAATGTGCTCTTTAAAGAGAATATTTTATGATCTGGATTTGAAGAGATGCAATATGATAATTATAATTTGGTTTGTGCTGAAAAGAGAAAGTAGGGCAGGCTGTTACTCACACTGCTCTATATTGCAATTGTTCTCCTCAAATCAATTTAAGCTCTCTTCTCCAGACCTCCCACAACATCCCTCCAAAACTCCCAGCTGCTCCTGGCTTCCACAAATCTCTTAAGACCTCTCTTCCTCTGCACACAACACTTAAATAACAGAAGCATCTGAGCAGAGCATAAAAGGCATATCTCTTAATTTTATTTTAATACTACTACCAGTACCTGCTAATCACACATCATGTGTAAGTACTTTGTAGAAGCGTAAAAGAGAAAGAATTTCAGGCTTTGCCTAAGTCATGCTGTTGAGATTGTGCCACACCTGAAACAGTCCCACAGCTGACTGTTTCACTTACCATCATGAGAAAGTTTCAGGACTTTCAGGTTCTACCTGATGTCATTACACCAGCAAAGCTGGATCTGGTGACATTCTGTTGCACAACTGAATGCTGCAAAGACAGCATCTTCCAAGGGGTTGGTGCATTTTCTGTACCCACCAATACCTTACTCTGGAAGATGAATTGAGAAGGACCACAGGTTTCTGAGAATTTTATCCTTTTTTTATATCTTTTATAAAATGCAGCTGCAGAGGCCAAATAAATTAGATTAACAGCTAGAAACAAGCATCAAGGCCAAAGTTAAAACCGTCTTAAACATGGGTATGAGAAGTATAGTCAGTACATGCAACTTTCTGTGCCCAACTTTACCTCCACAAGTCCCTTCTTCACTAGATGTAACTCCAGTTATTTCTTGTCCTATCTATTTTGTGAGCATTATACAAAGTTCCCATCTCTACAATGTTTTATGTGCAGCACGCTCAGCAATGAGGTTCCTTACCCCAGCTGAAGTCCCTGCATGTTCCAAGATGAATATAACAAGACAGGACTGCAATCTGCCAGCAATATAATGCACCACTATTACAACCAACACGAATATTAGCAGTGTGAAGGAGACCCACTGAGATGCAATTCAAATCTGCCTATGAAACAATTATAGCAGAAGGCAGAGATGGTTTTCTCCCTCCCCCAATAATCCTATTTGTCCTTTAAATAGATCTGAAGTATAATCTCAAACTGTCAGCATTTCTGTAAAGAAATACCAGCTCAGACCTAATTGGATTTGTCAGACAATCATAGCTAAACAGTTCTCTGAGCTCCAACAGCTGAACAACTAGGGAAAAACCTTCCACATTGTAATGTGTAAGAATATGAAAGTTTATTTCAAGAGGAAAAATTTCCTCTGAAAGTAGGTGGTAGAAAGGTATAATTTGTTCCACAGAACCCTATCCCTTAGCAACATAATGATGTGGTGTGGCATACCTAAGGTTGTGTGACTTGCTCCATATAGGCAATTATCTAGAGTTACCTGTTCATACATTGTCCCTTCGGGCTGCTCTGAATTCACCCCAGTTGCTAAAAGTTTGCTTGTGTAAACCTGCCTTTGTTTTAGACTTTTTGACCATGAATAAGAAAACGGGGGGAAAAGAAGAGGGAATTTTGACATGAACATGTAACAGTAGCATTCAAGAAGAAAACAAGTATACATATATATTGCATGTAAACAAAAAAACTAGTGGAATATGTATTGTAATCTGAAGAGCAGAAATACTTCTTATTCCTCTGGACTTCCTGACTTTTTGCATCACCTATATATATCTACATATATCTATATGTATAGATATACGTACACATGAAACTTGCTCTGTCATTATTGTATGTTAGGCTGTTCTGTTCAGGCTATTGTGAGCTGGAATAGTGCATTTTAAAGACAGTCTAGGGCATAATGGCCTAAAACTCACACTAACCTCATTCTTTGAACAGTGAGACAGAATACATTACAGTGATGTACAGGTTGCAAGTTCAGGAAGTGTATAGGCCAAATCTTAAAACACTTTCAGTGTCTTCAAACTGTGGTTTCATCAATGAAGATTTAGATTATTCCATATGTGTCCAGATCCAGAAGAAAAGTTATTATAGAGATTTTATGTTGAAAATTGAAATGATGTTCATTTCACTGACTTTAAAATAACAGTTGTGCAGGTTTTAACATTTTTACGTTTTGAGAATAACAACTTGAGCATTCAGCAATGTTATTTTCTGTATTTGCAGAGCTGGTAACCAGCACATATGCGACTGAGGAATAAAAGTAAACTTTGCATAAATTCCAACCCATGTTTTGATCTGGGTCAAGAGAAAATTCAGATAATGTATTTAGTCTATCACCATCAGCATCAATACTCAGGAGTTATACACTCTCTTACCTGTTGGCTTATCCACACCAAGGAATCCAGCCTGTCCCAGGGTTTTAAACACTTTATGTGCTGGGAACTGTCCTTCTTCTTCCCACTTGTCCACAAAGGGATTAATCTCCTTATCGATAATCTAGATTTGAAAAATAAATTTTAGATGTTAATAATACAGACATTTCTACACAAACAACTTTGATTAATTTTTCCTAAAAATTGTAATCTAGGAAGAAAGAGAAAGGTACAGGAAAAATTTTGAAAGCCCAATAATTTTCTTATTTCCTGTTGGATATCCTTATTCTCCACCCATCCACAATTATTACAAAAGTCTTAATGAAGCATATATTAATAATTCTTTTAGCAATTACAACTACTAAAACAGTAAGCCACCAGGGATGGTTTAAGCCTGTCCAAGTCCTATGAAAATGGTAGTTTCCCCTCACCATTTGTTACCTTTTTGGGTACAGATCCTAGAAAGTGACAGGAAGGGAAATCTGGATTATCCTCAAAGGAATGTTGCCAAAAAAGGTTGATGAGTTGTTCACAATGACCACACACAGTACCAAGACAGGCAAGTGGGAGAGACTTCATTTCCTCTCCCTTTACCTGAAATGCTCCCAAGGAAGTCAATGCTGTTCAGGGCAGTTATGTTCAGTCTGTGTTTAGACTTTCCTATGGTCTGACAGAACATATACTGGAAAAATATAGTCTCCTTCCAGAATTTGTAATATTCCCAAGTCTAGTCCCTGGGCAACTCTTGACTATTCTACTGCTGCACACCTACTAAAAGTCAATGTCCCACACTGCCTGGCTATTGTTCTTGCTCTATTCAGGCTGCTGTCTTCCCATCCAGCTGTTGCGAGCAAAACACATCTGGGATACAGCCCCTACATTCAGTAACACTTTCAGGTTTAAGAGCACAGGGGTCAGATGTTTCACTCCACAAAATTCCACATTTCCTTGCCCATGGGCAGGAAGCAAAATGGGCAGGTGCATTTTTGCTGCCTACCAGCCAGTGTGAGGTAGATGCAGTTTCAACAGCTCTCAAAAGGAGTCAGATGTATCCTGACCACCTCTCCTACATCCACCAGCCAAATCAGGAGTTGGCACAGGCTGCTTCTACCATGTGGCCAAGTCTACCATGCACCTGTGTCAGCCAGCACAAGGGGGGCCAAATGGAAACAAACCCTACCAAAACAAACACCAGTTGCCAATAAAAAGCTAATGTTTTTAACCTGTAACCATGATTTTACTGCTACACTGTTTCATGAAGAATTTACTTTTTCAAGAACTTACTCATCTTAGTCTTCTCTCCACACTAAATAAACAAGCCCTGTGGTGCTAACTATTTCTTGAGCTGGAAATAGAATCCTCTCCCTCCCGAACTGCTGTGTTCTTGAGACCCTGAGGAACTTTCTTCCAAACTATCTATTGAACATTCTTTGGAGAACTCCAGCCCATATATGGCTGGTTTCTGCCTTCCAGCTGGCCACAGAAATAAGCATACTTCATTGTTCATAACAGAAAAATCACTTTTTCAATTCTCTCATCTCTCTTCCTCTCTTATATTGATTAACATAGGCCTCATGATTCAATAGTAACAAAATACCAGAGCCCTATCTAGGAGAGCTCACCTTTCACTTCTATATTGCAATATCCTAGATGCTCAGATCCTAAGATGCTGACCCTCAATGTTGAGTTGCAGGTGGTGAAATACCTTTTTGACTGTAGTAACATCTGACAATACTCATCAGATAATGTCCAGGGAAATGCCTGAAAGAGGTTATGAAATACATAAAGTTTTCCCAGTGTTTTGATGGATCTTGGCAAAAATATGAAGTAAATGTACTAACAGAACTTTATGTTTGTTATGGCTGGTGCGGGGCCAAGCGTTTCACAGCCTTCATACAAAGCTACCTTTGAAGTTAAACAAAGTCAGAAAAATGACTGAGGCATGATTTCTTCAGATTATAACCTGCTTGCTCCTGTGCCTTTGAGGGAAACTCAAATCATTTAACAAAGCTGAATTATTACCAGGTAAAGTTTGCCATGCTGAGTAAAAGAAGATCTGTTTTGCATGACACAACAAAAAAAAACCAGAGATAACCTCACTGCACAAACCACAAATGGTTTATGCCCCTAAACTCAAAAAAAGATTAATAGCACAGTACAGATGCCAATAGCCACAGTTTTTTCTTAGCTGCTGAACGCTATTGGACTGTATTTTTACAAAGAATTAAATAGGCCCTGTCAGAAGCTTTTACACTTCAGTCACAAACTTCTTCAAAAAGTCACACGTTATTTTATAATCATAAGGGGTTCGGGGGCACCCTTATGATTATAAGGTGTGCCTTGTACTAACACATACAAACACAAGCCATATTGCTGGAGAATTGCAGTACTGCTCAGCTGGTTGATTCTTCAGCACTGATTATTGGACATTATCATCCCTTCCTAGAAAAGACAAACGGAAACAGGGAGAAGTATTTTCAAAAGGTCAAGTCAGCAATGAGTGAAGGAACACAATTACTAAACATGTGCTTAAAACATTGCTGAAGATGGGTCAAACAGTGCTGTACTCCTAATCACTAGATTTGTCCCTTTCCTTGGCTTTAACAACTTCCTCACATTTGTACCCTCAGAGAAATATTTCACACTTGAACTGCAGACAAGTATTATGTAGGCACCTTAACTTAAACCATAATGTATACATGCAGTGTTTGGAGAATATAGAGAAGTGAGCTTTAGGCAGCATGCAGCAACTGTTCTGCTGATTTATATATGCTTTATCATCCCATGGAAATCATGGGTGTCAGCATCTAAACTTGCATCACTAGGATACCAACTATAACAATATGTCAAACTTCTATCAGTAGAAATATTTAGCACTGCATACTACTGATGCTATCTGACAGATATTCCCAGCCACAAAGGAAATCCTTCCACCTGGTCTAGCTAGTCAAATCTCAATGGCATTTGGGATGTAAAGATGATTTAGGAGCCATATAACTTTCCCACCTGCTGATACAGTTCCAGTAAATCACAACAGAAACTCTGTTATTTTCCTGACAGCGAGGGTACAGTAAGTCTCATGTATGGGACTGGTGTTTTTCTCGGGCTGCTTCATCTGAACAGTGACGATGCAAACCTAAAGGACTAGGTTCTGGAGGCAGCCTTAGTTTAGCCTGCATCCCCACGAGAATTCAGGCTACTCTCTGGGGAGCCTCCCAAAGAATGGCCTCAGGGCTGGTATCAGCTGTGAATTATCTTGAAAAACACTGGTGGATATTTGCCCAGTCGGAAACTGATAGAGCCAACAAACTCGTTTTTTGTTGAATGATGGTAAGAAAAATAAAAGTGTTTTCATTAAAAATAGTTTTGACAAAATTTCGTGAAAACAGCACCTGCAGCTTCCTGCCCAGGAATGGGGAAATGCAATGGCAGGGTTATAGAGGGGACAGACACGGAAATACAAATTTTTAAAAAGTAGATTATTCTAGTTTCTCTTTAAAACAAAGCAATTAAAATATCCCTCCAAATGATTGCCAAAGAGTTGTATGTTTTGACTATATTCTATTGGAATTTATTGTACTATTTAAATGAGAAAAGTAACAAAAATTCACAGTTGGGGGTTTTCCTTCACATAATGCTCAATATTCTGTGCTGATATTGTACCTACAGGTACCGAGAAACATTAGCAATTGCCATTTAATTCTCTCTGCATTCTAAAATAAATGCATTCTACAGCAGTAGAAACTGTAATTGAATTAATTTGGGTACTGAGAGCATGTACAGATGTTCTTTACATCAATTAAATTTCTTTTCATTATTCACCAGCAAGTTTACCTTCCATCATGCAGTTCAAACCAGAAATTAAAGGCCATACCACTTCTACACACAATACCTCTTATATCCACAGCTTATAATACTGTACAGTGGTAGTATATTTCAGCACACTATTAACAAAATGATGAATCTTGAAAATAATACACTGAATTCTTAAAAAAATTACACAAACTTTTACTAAAGCTGAGTTATATCTCAGTTGAGATTAGACTAACTTACTAGAAAAGCAAGAGAAAATGTCCAAGCAAAAGCTATTTCATATTAAGATTAAATGGATTCTGAGGGGGCAGAATTAGATTAGATGTTAGGAAGAAATTCTTTACTCAGAGGATGATGAAGCACTGTAGCAGGTTGCCTAGAAAGGTTGTGGATGCTCCATCCCTGGAAATGTTCAAGGCCAGGTTGGATGGGGGTCTGAGCAACATAATCTAGTGGCTGGCATCACTGCCCATGGCAGGAGGTTGGAAATAGATGATCTTTAAGGTCCCTTCCAACCCAAACCATTCTATGATTCCATGACATAACTGTACAATATTATGTTAGGAGCAGCATTTTTTTCCCCTTTAAATCAAGTTACAGTAATCAAACTTAGCTCTATTAATATAATAACTGAAGATGATGCAATTAATAGGATCTTTAATGTAAAAAGTAAATAAATAAGCAACAAACTTCTGTGCTTCCAGTCCCCATGACACATGCTAGGAGACCCTAGCAGAAGTCAGGAGCTGCCTGAGTGCCTGAGTCACCCCACATGGTAGTGGCAAGCCCGGACCTGACACAGGCAGTGCCCCAGCAGGAGAGCCAATCGTTCTGTCTCTGATGACATAGGGTGCAGAAACAGAGGCAGTATGTGACTTAAAAAACCACAAGTTAAAAAAAAACCACATTAAACAAATGTGATTTAACCACACAGCAGCCAGAAAATGCTCCCTGCAGCACTAACCTTGTCTGCTCATATGAAGTTATTTAGTGCACTTTCTTCCGGCAACCAAAATCCAGTATTATGAGCTTGTCTGAATTCTGCCATGACCTAGAGAGCAAAGTTGCAGCCTACTGCTTCCTCTTTCAGGATGTATCACCACCACTGGGCAAAGGTCTCCAGGAAGTTTTGCAGGACCGTTTTCTGGTGATTGTTTTCTTTGGGGTTTTTTTGTTTGTTTTTTGTTTAGTTTGTTTGGTTGGGTTTTTTGGTTGGTTTTGGTTTTTTGTTGCTGTTGTGTTGATTTGGGCATTTTTAATACTAACTGAAGAAAGGGGGATAGCCCTCAATTCTTCTCTTATAAAACATAC